TTTCTTATCGTTACTTTTTGTATACTGCATTTTGTACTCTTTACTGTAAATGTTGAAAAATTAATATTCATGTCAATTTTTTTTATTGCATTTGATTTTCCGTATTCAATGTTTTACCCCACGTCATTGTTAAGTTTGAAGGCTTATCAATATTGGAACGATGAATAGATTAAATATTTAAAAAAAAAACAGAGCCGGACTTGAAACTAATTTAAATAAATTATGTTCAAATCAAATGTCCGGAACAAAAAAAGTATAAAGCGTGGCATATCGTTGTACTCAGGAGACCGAGTTCTTTCAAAACCTGAAATAAAAAATGCAGGTCCGTATTTAAAAAAAAATCACTCGGCCTCTGTATCTCACAAAAATTATCAGCTAATTTGAAAATCTAAAAATACTATCAGATAGCCCTAATAAAGTGGCTATGAGAATGTGCAATTAGTATTTTGCGTTTTTAAAAAGTAAGGACAGGAAAAAATAAAACTGATTTTCAAAAAAAAACGTTTTTTCCAAAAACTCAGCAATCCTTTTTTGATTGCATCTTGGTGAACATCCCAAAGCGCAGCTTTGCTCCAATTTAACCATGTTCGTATCTATTACGGTTACCGAGATACCAATGCTCGTACCTCGAATTTGTAGCACCTTGTATATTATATTAATCTGGAATTATATTTTTATAAATTACAGGACAGTTTATCCAAGTTCCTAAGCAGAAAATATGTGAATATTATTTTTTAAATTAGATGCATACTTAGTATTTTCATTCAAGAAATAATAATAATAATAGCTCCAGTATATAGCGTTTGACGCCTTGGGAGTAGCAAGGTACAGCTTGCCATACTAGAGCCGTTCGGTATACAAGGAATGTAATGTGGTTAGCACTACGCTTCAACCGCCCATTATTACCTCAGGATTGTGAATCCCAAGTACTCATTTAAGGCTGAGTCGACCTAGGTACCCAAACTATTTTTATTTTAATTAAAAATATTCGGCTGATGAAATGCCGCGTGTGGGATTCGAACCTACTACCTTGAGATTGGTAGACGAGAGCCTGTATCTCTACGCCATGCGCCACCGGGCACCTTTCATTCAAGAAATCCCTTGGGTATTTTGGTACTATAACGAATCCCTTGGGTATACCCAAAGAAGAAACACACTTGCCACATTTTTGCATTTACATTTATTTTTTCAAAACACTTAAGTTTATTTCATTTAGTTACAATTTTCTTTTGAAGTTTTCAGTTTTACAAATATAATGAATAGGGAGTGTTGGATTGTTGAAATATACGGCGTGGTCCGAACTGTATTCCGGAAACTGCGCCAGCATATTCTGCAGATAAAAATAAGTAAAAAAGATCGTATAAATGTATGTCATAAAATCCTTAGTTTCCTTAGTTTCGGAGATACAGGGTGTTGAAATTTCATTTTTATTTCGATTCTTTCCAAATAATTTCTGAAGTAACGTCAATATTTGGATGAAAATTGTCTGGGAGTTTCTTGACATGAGAAATTTGATTTTGATGTCAATATGACCCCGATTTGTAGGGGGCGCCACCTACATGTGTTTTAACTGTTTTGAAGAGTAATAACTTTTTGTCCGCACTTGTATAAAACTACTCTGAGTGAAAAAATATACATCCCCGTGACTTTTTACGTAAAAAATGTATTTTGGTAAAAATCGCTACTAGTAACCGTTCTCAAAATATTTAGAATGGGAATAGTCAATACATGTCATTATTGACAAAAAATAAACACGTTGCGTTGAGTACATAGCTACTTGACTGATTTTTTTAAAATTAATCATAAAATTTTCTGCGAAAAAATGATGATAAAACAGTCTCTGTTGAACTTTTGACACAAACATATTTCAAATGTATGATTTCATTCTAATAACTATGTATTTAGTCAACATATTTAATTTATGTCAATGATTACAGGTATTGATAATTTTGATTCCAAATATCTCGAGAACCATTACTCGTAACGATTTTTACCAAGAGACCTTTTCAACGTAAAAAACTTTGTAAATGTATATTCGTCTACTCAGTAGTTTTATATATGTCGAAGGACGAAAAGTTATTACTCTTTAAACCAGTTAAAAATATGTAGGTGGCGCCCTATACAAGTAGGAGTCATATTGACATCAAAATCAAATTTCTCATGTGAAAAAACTCTCAGACACTCAATTTTCATCCAAATATTGACGTTACTTCAGAAATTATTTGGAAAAAATCGAGATAAAAATGAAACTTCTACACCCTGCATCTCCGAAACTAAGAATTTTAGAACATACATTTATACGAACTTTTTTACTTATTTTAATGTGCAGAATATGCCGCTGAAGTTTTCGGAAAACAGTTCGGACCACCCTGTATAAAAAGTTTTTAAAATATTAATTTTTATAATCCTGAAATTTTGAATAATAAGTCTTTTATTTCATTTCCCATTTGCTGGCTTCTAATTAACTGGGTTAGTTTAAACATAAAGAAGAAATGGTAATCACACATTTATAAATTATGAAAACTATAGGTTTTCTAAATTTGGTGGTATTCATATAAGTCTGAAAATTTTATTTTGATGTCTTATTGTATAATTTGCCATACCTTTAGCAATTTGCATTTCTGTTTATTTTACTAAAATATTTATTTATACCGCAACTCCAGATTTAGAGATTCTGTTCTCTGAAGATTAATACAAGAACTATTCTAACAGTTTGATATCTTTCCTACGTAAAATGCATTCATTCATTTAAAATAATTTCCAGCTAAAATCCTTTAAAACCAAAAGACAACTTCATTTTATCTGGAAAACTTCGTTCCGCATCCATTTTAATTTATCGAAACTTACAACAAACACGATTATATGAACTCCTGGAAATGCGACAGCAGAGCTGGTTCAGTTTTGCTTTTGCAAGTTTTCTTCTTTGCTGTTTACCATAAAATCTGTTCCTACTTTTCTATCAAGGAAAATTAAATGAAGAGAGATGGAAAGAGAGAGAAGGATAGTTCAAAGAGGTAAGAGGAAAAGAGCGAATCACACAAGAAATGTCAATGTTTGCTTTAATCAAGTTGAAGGGAGGGCCGTTTGAAAGGATGAATTCGAATTTACTAGTTAAATAAATGGACGGTGAAAGCAGTGAAAAGTGATTTAATTCAATAATTATTTTAGATTTTTATATTTCTTTTTAACCTGGAAGTACAGGATGTCCCATTTTACTTGAAATCATACGGTATCTCCGTTATTAGTAATTATAGGAGGATGCGGCTTACACAAACTTTTCTTACTTTTTTGTCAAACGGAAGATGCTGTAAACAAAATTTGCAATTTAGGACAGCCCCGTATCGTCGTTATTATGGATGATATCGAAAAGGTGAAAACGGATTCTTGTAGAAATTTTTACGCAGAAAAAAAGTGGCGTAGTCTGTTTTTCGAAAAAAATATATTTGAAAATATGAATTAAAGTTACGCTTTTTCAAATATAACCTGTATAACACCCTGTATATTTATAAATTACATGATCCGTCTTGCTATGAGCTTTCCAAAAACATATATCACTCTATATTTATTTCAATATTTAAAATATATCATTTTCTTATTAGTAGGCCGTGATAAATAACAAAAAAATCAAAATGGTATTTACTAAAATAGTCATACACATATTAAAATTTTATTTGGGATTGATATATTTTACTTTTGAATTGTTACCACTGAATATATTTTTTTATAACGGAATTTATTATAAAGGGATGGGTTTGCAAATATCTAAAAACTTGCAATATTAGCTTGCATTAAAGTATTTTCCAGGTGTTCAACATTGTCGTAGTTGCCACGATATATTTCATATTTTAAAAATTCCCAGAATCAGAAATCGCGAACGGACAAATCCGGGAATCAGGAAGATCATCACATGAATCCATTGGTTCCGATTCATTGATTTGAGAAATAATAATTTAACAACATTTTAATATTTCAAAGTTGTGAGAGGGAGCCCCATCTTGCTGAAAGTATATTTCACGTAAATTTTGACGAATGAATATATAAAAGTTCTGGTACGATAGCTTCCAAGATTTACAAATAGCGGTAGAGAGTTAAGTTTCCCTAATATACAAAAGAATTTATAAGTGGCTCCGAAATAAAGCAAAAGACAGATAACAGTATACTTTTAATAATTCTTTAATTTCTTTTATATCAATCTTGGCCTACTAATAAATACGATCTTTTAATAAACTTTTTTAAATATTGCTCTAAATACTGAAAATAAATATAGTGATAGATATTTTTGAGACGCTTATGGCAAGCCAGATCATATAATTTTTAAATATATAGGCTGTTTCATTTAAGAAAACATAACTTTAGTTCATATCTTCAAAAATATTCTTGTCGTAATCAGACTACGCCACTGTAAAAAGTTCTACAATAATAAGTTTTACCTTCTCGATACCTTTAACAATAACAGAGATATGGGGTGTGTCCCAAATTGTAAAATTTTCAAAAAGCCCTGTAGCTCAGAAATGAGGAGGGTTATGCAAAAATTTGTTTACGGCATCTTCCGTTTGACTAAAAAGTGCGACAGGTTTGCAAACTGCACTCTTCCATTTGCAAACTGCATCCACGAATAACGAGATACCGTATGATTTCAACTAAAATGGGACACCCTGTACAAAATACGTTAATTATTCTACTTAAATGTGAGACGGTGCGTTTTTATTTTAAAATAATATAGTCAATAATAGTCAATTATTATTTTTAAATTAATGTTTGTATATGTGTGTGTGTGTGTTTATTCAATTTCCTTTATTGTTGATTCAGATTATTTTTTCTTTTAGATAAATCATGATGGTTACTCCCTTGCTAACTTCTATCAGTTCTATCTAAAGAATACTTATGTGAACATTAGGGAAACATGCAAAAAATGTTTTCAAATTTATCTATTTATATTGTTTAACATAACATGTTGAACATGTTGAACATGTTCCTAAATTTATTTTTTTTTGTTTCAGAATAATGTTCTACAGCCTTGTCCTACTACTGGTGCTCTCAGTAAACGCCTACTCCTCATGTCCAACGAAATGTTCCTGCTACCTAGACATAAAAGGACGCCGAGTAGTTCTTTGCAAAGATGGAGGCCTCACAGGCCCCCTAGACCTTAACGGGTTCGGTTACGACACAGAAATCATCAAAATAACCGCCCCCGACGACAACACCAACCTGCTCACCATGTCGCCAGCTTTCCAGAGGTACACCAAGCTGGAAGAGATCCACGTGACGAAAAGCAACATTCCCCAACTCGGCATGCACTTCTTCTTCGGCCTGACGAAGTTGGATGTGCTAAATTTGTCACAGAACAACATTACCCAGCCTCTGGATCACAATTTTCGCGGTCTGGACAAACTGAAGGAACTGTATCTGGACGACAACCGGATCCAGTCGTTGCCTAGCGGCACTTTCCGCTATCTGCATGAATTGAAGGTGCTGTCGATACAACGCAATCGAATCCGGGAACTGGCGAACAGGATTTTCCTGGAAATTGGAAAGTTAAAAGTGCTGAAGCTGAGCGGAAACAATTTGCGGGAACTTAATCCGGAGGTTTTCCGGGACGTTCAGGTAATTTCTTTTCGATTTTCTTTCGACTTTGTGTTTCGGGACGAGGTCTTTGTAGACGAGGTCTTGGAAAGACGGATATAAACGGGTCATTTTTATTTTGAAATGTTTATTGTTTAGTTGTTTGTATTGTTTAAAGAAAACTGTTTTAGGGGCATTTAATATATTTAGGATAACTTTGTGTTTTATGAAAGCTCCATATGATTTTATTTATCATACATCTTCATAACTTTTATTTTAAATTTTCCCTTCTATTTTTTAAATCATAATGTGGGAAATAAAAGTAAGTCGGGTTAGTTACTACACTCACTGGCAAAAAAAACCGGCCACTAAAAACTAGTCCCAATTTCAGAGTTGGATTTCTCGCGAACCACTCATTAGATTTTGATGTTTTTTTTTAATTGTAAATTAATTCCTTCTTAACGGATGCTACGTCAGAAATTTTTATTCCGAATTTATTTTGAGCATATACAGGGCACAACAATAAGACGAATTTTTTGCTCGAACTTTGTGACACCCTGTAGGGTGCAGCAGTTGTAGTAGTTATTGGTAAATAACAATTGCCAAATCACATTGTAGCCTCATTTTTTGTTAACATTTTGTTTTTTTAATCACGACATTATCTCTGTTTGTATTGGTGATATGCTGCTTTAAAATGAACGTCTTAGAAAAAAGCTTTGCAGGCAAAACCACGACCAAACCAATTCACATGTAAACGCGCAAACTGAAGAAGTGCTCGACGATGTGTTGGAAGTAGCTGAGGTCCTGTAGCAGGCATCCTTGCAGACAAGCTGTTTTCTTTTAGTCTTCGTTGGATTGTCCTCTCACTGACTTGAGTTCTACGCACGGCTTGTAGCAGATGTTGATTTTGAAACGCTGTAATTCTACGATTTCGTAAAGTATTCAGGACAATAAAGCGGTCGTCAATTGCATTTGTCTTCCGTTTTCTTCCGGAACCCACTCGCCTGGTGAAATTTCCCGGTTCCATATACCGATTCCAGGCATCCTGGACTGTTGTTCGAGGTATGCCCAGGGTATCGGACACATAACGTTGACTTCGGCCATCCTCAATTAAAGCCACAATACGAGCAACATCCGTCACAGATAATTGCATTTTTTAATTTGACAACCGTTGTTCTCATATTGTAAATACTCATAAATCCGTTTTCGCCTATGTATGTCGTTGATTATTTATACATAAAACTTTCTGCCTGCAAAGCATTTTTCCGAGATGTTCGATTTAAAGCAGCGTATATCCAATAAAAAGAGAGATAATGTCGTGACTAAAAAAACAAAATGCTCACAAATGAGGCTACAATGTGATTTGATTTAGCAATAGCTACTGGAGCTGCTGCACTCTAGACGGTGTTACAAAGTTCGGGCAAAAAACTTCGTCTTATTGTTGTGCCCTGTATATGCTCAAAATAAATTCGGAATAAAAATTTCTGACGTAGCATCCATTAAGAAGGAATTAATTTACAATTTAAAAAAAAAATCAAATTCTAATGAGTGGTTCGCGAGAAATCCAACTTTGAAATTAGAACTAGTTTTTAGTGGCCCGTTTTTTTGCTGGTGAGTTTATTTATAATTCATGAACGGATGGAATGACTTTGCTTCATGAACATCATACAGGGTGAGTCTTAAATAAGTGCAAATATTTTCAAGGCTGGTAGATCTCGATAACAGAACCATATTTTCTCTGTTCCGTTTTTCAAATAAGTCCAAAATAACCTTATTTTACTTTGAAAATAAAAAAAAAATCTTTATATTTTGAGAACCACTGGATCTTTTTTGATTTTTTTTTCTTGTAAATTTAATCTACTATCTGTATTGCCATATTATCAAGAAATTATGTTTTTCACTAAAAAGTAGTAAAAAAAAATTCAAATGTTTTTTTCAAAAATTTCCAAATTAAAAAAAAATTGCGCAAAGAATTTTCGTGTTTCTGGGATCGAAATATACAATATAAAAATATTTGCACTTATTTAAGACTCGCCCTGTATAAAATCTCAATTTCTTATTGCTTTTTAAGTGGAGGTGTTTTTGATAGTGTATGCTAATTTTGATTCAAAATTAATTATACTTAAATAGGCTAAAATTCTAACTCTATGAGATGTAATGCTTTTCTCTCTCAATGAGATGTAATGCTTTCGATTCCAGATGTAATGCTTTTCTCCGACATCTTAAATGCAAAATCCGGTATTTTTTTATCATAAATGAATGAAACTTTATTCCACTTCATGTTTTGTTAAGCGGCTTTTCAAATGCTTAATCGATATTTAATGTCTATTTTTACTTTAAATATGTTTACATTTTCTTCTTAACTTATAGGTGTTTATCATTAGATATAGTGGCGGCATCCATATTATTAACTAAGATCCTTCTAAAACTGTGTCTTGAAAGACGTCTTTATTAATTTTATAATCAAGTAAACTGTAAACCCCAAATGGAAACTCTGATATGGAGTTCTTTCGGAACACTCTGTGTATTTAGGGACTATGCTACAGATTTCAGTTTTATAATGGACCAAAGATGATTTCCAGCATATATTTTTCTTTAATTAAAATTGAAACTACTCATTTCATTATTATGTACATTTTATTAGAATTAATAATTTTTAAAATTAAGTTTCCAGCAACTTAATTTACTTAAAAACCTCAGTGTAATTTCATAGTGACACATATTAGAAAAAGTTTACATGAATATAATAAATCCATTCCATTTTCATTATACATTTTAATTTTACTGTGAAAGTATATAATTTTCCTTGTTCTAGTTTAATATGAATTAAAGTTGACATTGAAGATTGATGTATATTACAAAGACATTTTTATTTAAATTTAAAACATTCTTTTGTTTCTGTTCTGTGTGCAATTCAATACCAAATCTAATTTCACTGTCAAAATGCAGAGGCAATAATAAATTATATGACATTTTCAAAATAGCAAGACACTAAAATTATAACGATGATATAAAAAATAAAATATATATTTAAGAATTACGAAGCGATCAATAATGATTGAAATAGTTGTTTCAAAAATAACTGCTTAAGCTTATAAAATAATTTAACCCACTATTAACGAAGTTTTTATTTGTTTCAGGAACTTCGCCACTTGGAATGCCGAGGATGTGCCTTAGAGAAAATCAACAAAGAAATTTTCAGCCTGCTTCCATATCTGTCCTATTTAGACTTGGGTGACAACGAAATCAAACTAATCCACACCGACAACTTAAAAGATCTGATTAACTTAAAAGTACTTAAGCTAGACGGTAACCAGTTGACTGTTTTACACGACAATATTTTCCTTAACCAGGCAGCGCTAAAAAAGATCAACTTGGCCCGCAACCACATCACCAAAATCTCAGCCAATGCCTTCGTTGAACTATATAATTTGACTGACATCGACTTAAGTTTTAATAAATTAGAGAAAGTTCACGAAGGGGCATTTGGAGCTGTTAGTAGTAGTTTGGAGATGTTAAATTTGAGCGGAAATCAGATGAAGTTACATACTTTGAAGGAGTTAGCTTCGATGGAGAACTTGAAAGAACTTAAACTCTCAAAGTGTGAAATTATGGATACGAAAATAGAAATATATCCTCCAAATTTAAGAGTCTTAGATTTGAGTAACAACTACATTTCTCTGCTTAATACTGAATACTTTCCTTACTCCTTAAAGGAACTTGACGTCTCTAACAATAGAATTAGAGGAATTGACGAGAACGACATGAAGAAGCTGGACGACTTGAAGTACTTGAATCTTCAAAAGAACCCCTGGTCTTGTGATATTTGCTTTATCGTGCCTTTGTTAGAACGAGCCAATAGAAGTGCCACATTCAGCGAACTGATTTGCGTATCTCCTTACACTGTCAAAGGAAAAACGTTGGGAACTATAGTAAAAAGCGAGTTAACTTGGTGCTCGGCTGCTAGTTACAGCACTGGAGATCCAGACTTTTTCTTGGTAGCCGGTGATGGAAGAATGCGTATAATAGCTGCCAGCATGTCAGTTTGTCTGTTTCTTCTTACTATTCTTGCTGTGATAGGTGCAGTATGCTATTCAAGAAGACACGCTGCGAGGTATTATACACACGAAGACAAACTAGCTATGGAAGGAGAAAATATATTCGAGAACAACCATAGCCCATTATTTTGCGATAGAGAATTAAGTTTTAAATTTCCATTGGATGCGAATGAAAAACGAATATCAATAGCGACTATTGAAGAAGTTAAAAAAGAACATTCTATTACCAACGGTACTTGAAGATAGATAGACCGTGAAGTGTTTTTATTGATAGCGTGATAACTTTCAAGAAAAGTCAGACGCTATGGTGTCAAATACTGTACAAAAAGTGTATGTAAATAAAAGATGATATTTTATGTGTGCCAGAGACGGAAGGTTGTGCCAATTATTTTGAGCCCTATGGGTTTTAAATGTAACTAGAGATACTGTATTTTGATAACATTGCAACTGTCTAAATATGAAATTTAATATATTATATTTTTTGTGAAGAAAGAATTAGAATCTGTTCCTTGAAAAAAAAAGTTTTACGTCACTGGAAGAGAAATTTACTAAATTAAAAAAGGTATTTTTAAAACATCACCATTAGATAAGAACGTTATTATAAAGAATAAACTCTTAAAATTGTAATAATAATTGTTTTTAGGCATAAAATGGAGGTAAACTTCAACAACAAGCCAACATATTACATTATTATTTTCAATTAATTTATGTTTGGGTATAATGATTTGCGAAAATAGTTTATTCTAATAATGAATAAACCGGACAATACTACAGTTAGTTTAACACTCTAAAGATATATTTCTCTTAAAATTACCTCTCATTGAAAAAGTGTTAATAATGATAGTATCTAATTCTCGTATCGTTTTATAATTTAACTTGTTTTAGGTTAGGCTAGGTTAGGTTGCTGGGGTTGCCCTAACTCGGAGGCCTTGGGCCCACGCGATACCCCTGTATTATTGTGTACTAAACCTTCCTCGCATTCTTTATTTGCGTTAAAGCACTTCCTGGTCTTTGCAAAGTTCCCGATGTTGCTGATGTTGGCTTCTGCTGCTTCCTCTAGTTCCTCCAAAAAACCGTACCCTAAAGTTTTAAAGCTACAGTTTTCCTGTGCCGGACAGTGGCACAGCAGGCTCTATGGTTCTTCCTCTCCGCATTCTCTGCAGTAGTCGTTGTTGGAAATCTTCCATCTCACGAGGTTTACCCCCTTGGAGCAGTTTCCAGTGACCACACCTACAATTATGCGTACTAGATACTTTTTGTGCTCTAGTAGTTGTTTTGTCTTTTTGCTATCTACCACTAGCCACAGTCTTCGATCTGTAGCGCATTTGTGTCTAGCCGGACCGTGCAACTCTCCAACTTTTCAATCGCAGTTTCGGTGCGGCGCATGCGTATTGGAACGGCTGAACAAAGTAATTCGGGAGCAACGGGTCTTAGGATCGATCCCCCGATAGATAAGTAGAACTTTTTCAATTTTTTTACAGCTATTTTTATTTTTTATTATTTATTTAGAGATGTCGATAATAGCGAGCAAAAAAGGCTGTAGGCGTATTTTGGTTGCTTTGGCTAATCTCTGGGGCAAGTTTTTTTGTTTATAGATTGCACGGGAAATACTGGACCGATTTTTCTGTAGAACTGTTATATATTATTATAATTTGTTAGTTTTATTTTTGAAATTTAGGTTAAATTATGCTACGATTGCTTAAGAATTTACTCTCGAAAGTTACAAGTTTATAATAAAAGACAAGAAAATAACCCAAGATTTAAATTTGGCGGGCATAATTGGAAAATGTTCTTTGTGAAATGAGACTTCGACCGCCATCGGAACTTTGTTGAAAGTTGGAGAGTTGCACGGTGCGGCTATACGCAAGTTCTGTAGCGCAGTCCTTACGGTGCTGCCACCTCTCTTGCTGCTTTGCCTTGATGATAGTTCGTATAGCTTCCTTCAGAGTATTGATCGTCATAAGTGATGGGTCATCTGCCACGGCGTCTTCCCTGGTCCCCTCTTTGGTCAGTTTGTCCGTTTCCTAGTTGCCCACTGCATTGCTGTGGCCTGGCACACAGCACAGAGTGGCCTCGCCTTGACGCAGCAAGGACAGTGCTTCTGGGCAGTCCATCACAGTTTTCTATCTGTAAACATACATAAATTTACACGAACTTTTTTACCTATTTTTATCGGTAGAATATGCTGCCTAAGTTTCCCGAATACAATTAGGACCACCCTGTATACTCCTACATGGGATTGTCGACACCCACGCATCAAATTCACTCTGAAAGTTGTCACTCTAGTAATAAAAGAAGTTCGATTTCCTTGGATTCGTCATCCCATCCACTACAATCTAAACCGGTCTCTTGACCATCGTGTCCCTTTGGTAATTGAATGCTCTTTTTTACGCTCTCGATATTTCAAATCGATATTCGTTTTCTGCGTGGTCCAGGAGGAATTGAAAACTTACATCTCTATAACAAAATTGAGGATTGTGACTGCTTGGTAATGTGTTCGCCCTTTTGATATCTCGTGGGTGTAATATCTCGATGCGTAGCTTCTAGAATATCTCCCAAAAATCATCAAGAATGACAAATATTGTTAAAATGTTTTAATGAAAAAATTTATACTAAATTTTTTAAATAAAGTACTTTACCACCTCACGGAAAGAAATGGCAAATCACTGTAAGTTTGTTTCAGTAGCCACTGTTTCTAAATGTGAAGGAACAAAATACCAAACTAAAATAGTCTATGTCTGTGTGTGGATTTCAAAATGAAAACAACCGTCAACGATGTCGACTTCCGCCATAATTTTTTTGTGTTAAAATCTTTGTTTTAAGGTTTTCTCGCACAAAAAATGTCTGGCAAAAGCAAATTCATCGTTTAATTTAATAATGTACTTTCATATAAATTTTTAATGCCCCTTCTATATATCATTATTTGTTGCTACAAGATATTTTTGTTTGAAGATTTTTATTTTTATTTTTATATCATAGTTCTAAAAATAAAAATATATAAATCAATGTAAGTAGAACGCGTTCTTATGAGTTTAAAAGCTTAACAGCCGATAAAACATATATTTTTAGTTAACAACGCTCTCACTATTCAACATGGAGGAATTTTAATTCATTATTTTATACACAAATCATCTACATTATATCATATTTGTGTCTAAAATGAGAGAAACTCGTGTTTTGAAAATGAATCGACAATAAACGGAAACCTTGTTTTCAAAATATTTCAGTCCAATGTCATCTGTCAACGCCAATCAAAACTTCTGGTGAAAATAATTAAAACATTTTTATTTACTTATTATAACATAATTAAAACATAAAAATATGTATTCCATTGTGGAAAAAAAAAAGGAAAAAAAACGTTTGCTGGTAACATTTTTCACATTTGGGTATGAGTAGTGGCTGTTATTACATTTATTCCTAAAACAAATCATCTCTGTAATGCATATAATAAATAATTACAAAATCGCATAAGAAAAATATCTGTATTTGTACACACTATAATATTATGTCCTTCTTCCTGCTTTTTTAATTATAGTACTATAAAAACTTGAAGTATGTTTAAATGCAAAAACTGCAGAACAAAATCCAAACAATAAAGTAAGGTTATGTTCTCATATTTGACAGAATATGAAATAAAATATGGACAATTTTTAGGCAAAAAACGGGTACGAAATCTGGAAATGTGAGCCACATCCGTTTCTTAAAAGTTTCGAAAAATTTGTGACACTAAGATCTTTATTGTTATAGCTTATGTAGCGAAACCATATTTTGGTAAAATTTTCGAAACAAAATAGCGATATATTTATGTTAAAAAACATATGTATCACAAATATGACGAAACAATGTTTCTCAGCAGAGATTTTGTTTCTATTTTGTTTCTAAAATACTACTTGGGCTGAGATTGCTCCTGAAAGTATTTCGAGAATGGCTTTGCGAAATGTTTCACGAAATATCTCTGTGTTTCACGAAAAATTTTGTGAAACATTTGGGGCATAGTGTAGAGGGTGTTTAGGACTTGTTAATAAATGGGTCTATACCTTTGTGGAGTGTTCGTTTCTTGGAAAAAGTCTGAGGTTTTTGCTACAGGAAGAAAAATCTACAAAAAGTTAGTTTTTATAAATACCACTGCCTTGAATCCCAACAGAAACCAGTTTGTCAGTGGCTTTTTACTAGTAAAACTAATTTAACCAAAACAAACATAAATTAATCATAGCATTGAAAATTATTTGAAACAAATTTATAGTCTGAAAAAAACGTTGGTTTCCCTCTTGATGAAATTTACCTCCATTTTATGCCTAATAACAATTCCCATTTTCAAAATAGGAGTCTTATGCTTTATAATAACGTTCTTGAAAAACTTTTATTTTGTTCGCTGTAATAGGATTTGTCATACTATTTTATCTGAACACGCAATTATTCGAAAGAAAGTTAGTTTTCTGGTTATTATTATTTTTGCTTTGTTTCTTTTCCATTTGCCATTTCTATGAAGTCTCTTTAAATTAAATTCCCAGTCGACTAAAATTCTGCTGTGCTAAATCTACACTAGTTGAAGCTTTTTATTTTTAACTTTGTTGCTGTTGTTTTAGTTGTGTTTTAACTTAACATTTCCAACTACGAATGGCTTTAAACAAATTTTAGACTAAAGTTTTTTAGAAAAAAAAAAAATTAAAACATTGTTATAATACAGAATTATTTTGTTTTATTTTTGTAGTATATTTATTTATAGATCTGTAATATTTTTATACGACAAAATGCAATTTAAAGTTGTATGGTTATTAATGCAATATCTCTAGTTATATTTCAACACGTCTTCAAATTATGTTTATTTAATATGTACTCTGTAATGTATGTGTTTACAACCAAACTATTATCTAACTAAAATTTAGTTAGATGTGTTTTTTATATACATTTACAGTGATGCTGATATATTTGTACATTTTATTTATATTTAAGTTAAGGCTTTATAAACAAGGTATTTTATTTATTTCTTATTCATTTGGTCTACTAGCTACTCTATTCAAAACCTTCACCGGATGTTTATCAAAAGTGGCTCACCTTTATTTTTTCAGACAAAAAACGAGGTTTGGTATGTTAGGTTAGGTTAGGTAAATTAGTATATTGTTACGTTTTTCCTCGGTTCCGTTTGGATAGAAAGTCACAATTTATTTAAACACAATTTATTTACACTAAATAACAGAAAATAACGATTAAATAACTATTTATTACTATTTATCTAGAAAGAATTTATTTTGAATTTAGCGCGACAATTGTACCCGTCTATTTATATCATCGGTTTATATTATACAGCTAAAGAGTTCTCGAATAATCCATAGATCATTTGGTGCACAGAGAAGGTTTCGAATGTTCTCGTATGTACTACTCCATTCCAGTGTAAACTCGATTGTTCTCGAACGTTCGCATGAATCATTACGGTGTCTATTCCTTAAGGCGATATTTAAGGTCATATGGGGGCGGGACATATCCGTTAGTTAGGTTATGCCGAGTCCACACGGGTCCGCAATAATATATTATAAATAGGATTGATTCATGTATTCAGGTTTTTCGGTCACTTCCTGTTTCATCGGAAATGACTAAAACTTTTGATTTTTAAATAGCAGCCTCGGTATTTTTTTACTTTATTCGATAGAAAATGGAACTCTGAATATAATGAGATATCATATGTCAACTTTTGATATTTTCGTTACGAAAATCGTATTTTAAATTTCAATTTAGAGTGCCATGGCTGAGTTAAAAACACTAATTTTTAATCAAGAAGCCTCGGAAAAATATATTTCATCGACTAATATTTTTTGTGTCTTGTCTTTGCCGGTTAAAAGATGTATTTTTTAATTAAATCGTAATTTTACTCGTATCTCAATTTTTTCAAATGTATTGAGGGTGACTCATTAGCATATTTGGAAAAGCATTCTTTTACGAATAATTTGGTACCGCACATTTGATATTTTGATTTAAATTGTCGTTATGGACCGCATGTTCATAACTATTTCAGATCAAAGATATGCGAAAATATCAAAAGTTGACATATGATTCTATTAAG